AATTGAAACGTTCCAAGTAAGGAAATATTGAATCCTTATCTTGTTTTGAAATGTAGATGCTCGGTGTGTCATCAAGTGAAATATCTAGAAATATCTCCGAATTCTGTATTGTTGGTATACAAATGTTCAGATTAACATTTTTAAGTTGTGATTTGTTTGAAATCTTTTCCTTATAACTTTGCTCTTGGGAAGGCTGGTTGTTGTATTTAATTGCTAATTATTAATTTTCAGATATTTTAGAGTAGACAAAAAGTTGACATATTCTCAGCACAATGTTGAAGCATATGCAAACCAAGTTTCATAAAAATCGAATGACCAAATACATGATTAAATCAGCTATATGTTTTAAGTGTTATCAACAGCGTTATACCATTAACGTTTCAGATACTATCAACAGCCGACATCTGAACCAGGTCCAGCATTTGATAATGATTGTGATGCCTATGGTATGCGGGACAATGTCCTATATGTTTCGTAACAACCAACTATTACCGATGTAACACAAAACAACCCCGATAGTCCAAAAACAAACAGAATATCAGTTGATAATGATGGTAATTACAGTACAGTTGATTTGGATGAAATGCAAACAGTCGAAGAATCGACGGGAGATTACAGTTCAATAGACTTAGAAAAACTAACACCGACGAAGTCAATTATGAACGGATCTTCAAATGAAAAACCGATTATTGCTCCTAAGCCAGAACAAAATATGACCATTCAAGATGATGTTAACTCTGTCCCAAATAAGAAAAAGGTGAAGCATGTTACAGCACCTGGGAAAAATCGGTATGCATATGCTGTTGTCAGCAAACCAAACAAGTTGAACTATGATAAAAGTAAAGATCAACCATCAACGAGTAATGTGTATGCAGTTGTAGCAAAAAAGAAACGTATGTCTGACGGAAAGGGGACAAATCAGAAAAGAGATAGCTTAACATCCAAAAACGACAGAGAAACTGGACAATCATCAAAAAGCTGATTACTTAGTACTAGTAATCTGTAAAATAGAAAAGGAGCATTTCAGCACTTTATTGCTTGTTCTATTAACCATGTTAAAAATTGCAAAATAGACATAATCTGCTGTTTAAATTTAACGTTTCAACAAATATACCTATACTTATATAAACTTATGTATATAAACTAATGTATATAAACTCATAATAGAGTTCACAGACCAGTAAAAATACAATTATTGATGATTTGGTGTTGACTTAATATTTTGACGGTAGAATATAAATGACGGGATTGCGGTTACGACCATTGGAACATATCCGTCGTCATCTGTGAAAATATCCCATAACTGTCCACCTACTCGTAATGGCCTCCGTATAATTGTCGAAGGTATGACTTTAATTTCACCACTTGGAACTCTTGGATTGATAGCTTTCTTGTGAGAAGCAACCAAAGTTCAGTTGCTGCTGTTATGTTGCTTCATAGACATAGCAAGTTCACAGTTAGGAAGCTGAAATCATCTTTTGTTTGTTCTCAACCGACCCACGTGTTGTCAATTTCTAGATGAAAGTCAGATATGAGGCAGACTTAACTTTATCTGTTGTATACTTTATTTCAAGTACGGTTCAACATAGTCACTAAAATTTGAATTATTCAGTGAGAACACATCATCTATATAGCAGGACGTGAAGTTAAAGGATAATGCTAGCTTCATTTCATCCTTCCTTATGACTTCGGCCTCATATAAATGAAGGATCAAGTCGACAAGCAGAGGAGCACAGCTGGCTTCTAAGGAAAATCCGATATCAACCCCGGTTTGTGTTGTGGTTCGTGATGCTCAGTCTTTGGTTTTCTATATTGTGTTCTGTATACTGTTGTTTGTCTTTTAATTGTTTTTCGTTTTTTGCCATTGCATTGTCAGTTTTTTTTATGACTAATGACCCTTTCGTATCTCTTGCCTCTTTTTTATTGTTTCTGTCTACTTTATTCTGGCAACAAATACAGAAATGTAAAAACAGACATAACATTAAAACAGAATATTTTTATTATCAATGCAGTTGTCAATTCTTGGAACATTCGAATGAATAACTACTAGAGGGTGTTAAACGACCTTGACTACCCATGAGGATCTCGCACGGCCTGTTTGGAATGTATGTGCTATATAAGGTAATAATTCATATCAAAATTACTGTTGCATATCTTAAAAGAATATGACGTTGTGTTGCAGGGAAAGAATGAGACAAACGATAATATTCACAATATGAATCTTATTGATTTAAAACCTCTTTCAACAACAAAATATATAAGTATCAATAAACGATCTTAATGGTTAGCACCTTATAAGTTCATAACAACATGTTATCATCAGATTTTTCTGTTCAAAACTTATATCAAGGGAAGCATGGAGGGATGGAAGGATGGATGGATGGCTGTTTAACGTCCAGTGTCAAAATAAATGCATGTTCAGGACAAGAACATAGTAATGTGATATGAATATAAACCATGAGTTGTATAAGACCAAGACGTTGAGTCAGTTCACACGGTGAAGAGGAAGACATGTCACCCTACCCGGACACATTATTCTGATTCCGAGCTCACCAATCTTTGCTCTTACTCCTAAATATCGAGTGCTTAGCGAAGAAGCAGTAAATACACATTTTAAAATCTTGGGTTTGAACAGGCCGGGTTTCGAACCCACGACCTCACGCACTTGGGGGCAGCACACCACCAGGGATCCACCGAGGCGATGTGGCATGCAAAGAAGACAAGTGTTGCCCATAACAGTTAAACACAGAACAGCATATTACATGGAATGTCTGACTCATGTTATAAATATGAAAAGGATAAGGATGTTTTTTACTGATGAAAAAAAATCTTCAATTAAGTAATTTAAAAAAAAGTTACTTGTACATTATCAAAATTCATTACCCGTTAAAGAAAATTTGTAAAAAAAACTTTAATTAATTTTTATATATTATTGTTATGATCAAATTCGTTGTAAAAATGTTATTAATATAATTTATAATATTTTAATTGGCCAACTAAAACTTCCGTCAATAACTGAAAGATATATTCTGCTAATCTGAATATATGTTATCTTAAGTCTAACTTTGAAAAAAACAATTTCAACCGTATATGTGTGCATTATTACAAAATAATATGTTTATTTACACCTACTAGCGACCATATGAATTTTGGATAACAAGGGTAACCACCAAGTTGTCATTTTTCAGTAGATGATGCACAGTTGTTGCTCCTTTTTTAATGCTCTAAATCATGTTGTATACTTATAAATATGTGTCGTTGGGTTGTTGTGACATTGATACATACATGTACATCCCTCCTTAAATAAATTCCGTATTAAGTTTGAAAAAAGCTTGTACCACAAGGTATTCCATACATTTCCGCAACAGTCATTATTAAAATCAGCATTATACTTCCAAAGATAACTAAACAATGATAACTTCTATTTATTTAATGTGTAACTTGCATATTTGTGTCCCTGCCATATTGTTTAGTATTTTAAACTAGGAATACCAGATAATATGCAAAATGCATCCAAAGGCATATCATCTTACGAAATCAGTCCAGTATCAAATTTTGGGATATATCTGACTTGATTATGTAGCTGAATTTAAGTTTTGTCATATTTTCTTTTCGTTAATTGTTTCGTTATAAATAAGGCAGTTAATTGGTTTTCTCATCTCAAGTGTTTAACATTTTGTAATGTAAGGTCCTTTATTTTGTTTTTGTTTTCGTTGTTAAAGGTTGTACAATTACCTATAGTTGCTTACACTCACTTCATTTGGACTCTGTTGGAAAGTTGTATCATTGAAAATCAAACCAAATCTCCTCGTTTTTTATATTTTATCTAACATGTTTCATACGTAAATGATAAAAATATAATCAAGCGTCCAGGCAATAAATAGGTGGAAACAAGTGAAAACCATCATTGCAGATCGAAACTTACATAAATACTCTTACCTCAGTATGATGACCGTAACCTATTAATTACATAATTTCCTGTGTGATTTAACACATGAGACACCCATGTAGACACATCCGACAGATACAAACTTGACCGTAGATCATTTGATAATATCCCTAGATAACATGTATGTACATGTAACTTAGTATTATAGGCACTATACCAATAAAATGTTCTTGATTGAATGATTGCTGATAATGTCTAGTGATAAATGTTTCACACAAAGTTAAGACTAATAGTTGTTGCAGTAGTTTTCTAGCATTTTTAATGAAAAGCTGTCATTTAATCATTACTAAATGACGCCATAATTATACCTAATAATCTGAGCAGTGTGCATTGCACACTGTGTGAATGCATGAGGATATTTTTTTCTAGTGGCATATAATTCACTAAGTTCTGTCATATTTCAAATGAAGAACAAAAACAAATCATGTGCCTACCAACAGCATGTACAAGCTTTAGTTTATACTATGGTAATGTGTTCTCAGACAATTAAACATAATTTGCTGCTAAAAGACTGTGCCTTGGCTATACGCATATCTTTACGGAAATACGTCTCCATAGGGATATGTGAATACACATGCCGTGTACTACTTGTCCCATAGTACTTTAGCAAGCATTTTCCGAGCGGTATAACCTAATTTGATTTTTGTTACGTGGTACCGCATTAGATAAGATCTAGGTGGGCATAGACCGACGTGAAATAGAGCTGCTGAGCAATCAAGATGAGATATATTCATCGTTAAGGTACAATGACACTCTTACCTCTCAGGAAAAACATATATTTTGGCATGAAAAATTATCATATTAACAAAACGTGATCCAAAATGGACTCGTATTGTTCAAAATGTTTAATAATCGAATTGATATCTTTGGTAGCTGATTTCTCTTTTTGTATCAGGTTCATCTTGCATGACATCTTTATGAATGATTAATTTCTGTTTATATTTGATGTAGTTGTGTGTAATTCATTTCAAACAAATTGTTCAATAATATTTAAATCAAGGTAATATAACTATAAATAGTTTCATTATTAATTGTAATTTAAACCGGTTTTCAAACATTGCAGCTTTGTCTAACTTCCTTCTATTCGTTTGAAATAAAATTGATTTGATGCTAATACTGATATGAAGACGATTGAGTTATCTGTACCTTTGCTTGTTATGTATATTGTTATTTTAGGTAAGTAGAGTACAATCTATTTATTAAAAAAACGCCTTGCTATATACGAAATTCAGACCGAAAGGCAATTTCTTGCTGTATTTACAAATGCAAATTCCCGTTAATTTCATTCATTAGGTAGGCATAATGGAATATTATAACTGTACACTGCAAAGTACGACATCTTTGCATTGCGCAGGAATCGGTAGCAACATTTGTAGTGACGTTGATCACTGTGTTGGTACAATTTCCATTTTACTGTGTCCATGGTGTATCATAACTGAAAACAGTATGTCGACGCTGGAGTTGACTGGTCAGGTCAATACAATATGGTAATTTTTATATTGAATTAGGTATAACAGGCTTATAAATAGTGAAAAATAACAATTGAAAAATAAAAAATCCAACATTATAATACTCGATTATTCTATTTTTACGCAAAAACGTCATGTCAAAGACCAGAATGTTGTGTGGATATATCGTATTTTTTCTCCGGTCGTCATAAAACTTAACATGAATACTAGTATTACTTGTGTTACAGTTATTTTTGTGCTGTTAAAGCAAATCTTGTCACTACAACCGAAAACGGGAAAAGTAGCAATTTTCAAAACGGTCCATGGTAAAACAAGGTACAAAAACATGAGGTTTGTGTAATGATAATGTGAAATAGGGAAAAAAACAAGGAAATATTATATTGTTGGTATGAAAAAAGTACAAAACAATGTATTCCCAGTTCATGGTATTTTTATGCCGAAGACATTAGTATTGTTACCACACAATGATTTCCAAAAATATAGCCACTTGTCACAACGTAAAAAAGAACGAACCATTTTTCAATCGAGATTTCAAACGGCTGTATGTCAAATAAGCATGGTCAGATTTTATGAGCAAACGATATCAATGATACGAGTTGATCACATTAGTTTTAAAAAAGTTCTGTCGGAATCAACCAAGCAATAGACTATTTTTATACATGTATAGCGACTATTGACTCCGGATTATTTATTTTTTCGACAGTACCCTTTTTTTATACTCTGTGGTAGGATATCCTGGTTATCAGTCAGGTTTTTTCAAACGGAAAGAAGGATACTTGTTGATAAAAGTTCCAGTTTTGAAGAGGATCGAAATATTTTACTTCCTTTTTGGAAATTTAGAAGCCAACTATTTACTCTTATAGCCTTTTTGTCCTCTGAAAGAAAAACCCCAACAAACCATACGGAATTCGGGGAGGATTTGCACTAATGACCAATTTTTAGTTATTTATTTTGGATTTTACTTGTTTTGCAGTATCCCATACATGTATTTTAAAGGAAAAGCGGTCAAATTCGTGAAACTTTTAATGGAATATCTTATTTTACTTAGGGTGAATGTACATTTTTCTTAAACTTTTCTAATGCAATAGTTGAGCAATTGTCATATATATTCACTTGTTAAAACGAAATTGCATGTGATATTTTAATGCTGGTAATGATTCTTTTGAATTGTCTATGCTTGTTTTAGACAAGAGGCGAACTTTTTCACGGCAATTTTTATCTGAATTTGAATATTTCTAAATTTCTTTTTTTTTAATAATTGTTGTAGTTTATTTAGCTTATTTCACTGTCTGTACAAATTATGAATGTACCTCAAAGGGCAATTAAATTCCACATGTCGGGAATACAATGCAGTACATGAAATCGTTGCAGTGATGAATTTACTTTCCATTCTGGTTCATATAATATTAATGCAAGATTCCTTTGTCTTGGTATGTATGCTTACCATTATGGATCACCTGCTATCACTCCATTCTGGACGAGAGTTCATATTGCTCAACTTTTTTGATCAGTATTGTCTCTAGTTTTAAAATGTTATATATTTTGTGAACGACTTTTTCTAGTTTTGAATCGTTGTCTCGTTCTTGTATTACATGATGTTTTTGTGTGTTTTGTTCCTTTTTCTACTGAACCCTGTCGGTACTCTACATTTTCTTTTTATCTGGCCTATAAATAAAATTTGATCTTTTTTTAATTTATAAAATGCTTGAAACATGCAATCAAAATGTATTGGTGTTTTCAACTGATAATTAAGAGATCAACATGAAAAATTTCAATCTAAACATTTATTTGAAAACTAGAAAAGAAATATTGTCAAAAAATACCATAGAGGAGATGGTGGAACCAGATGGTTGATGTAGTACTTTATTGCCGGTGTGTGTTGATGTCAAGTAGTTGAACACTTTCCACAGGAAGTAAATCTGTCTTTAATTTAATTGTTTTTCCAGCAGACAATTTATATTTTTATTTTAGATACTGCAGGAGAGCCTTGTTCTACAGCTTACAATTTACCAGGTTAATATACTTCATGACGTTTCTTATATAAAAAAAAAACGTTTTAAATAGACTTCTGTTATCATGAAGCTTCGTTTCTTTCCATCGAAAATAAAATTTACAAGAACAAAACAAAAAGATTTTTTTTAGAGAATCGAAGATCGACAGAGCATAACCAACGTTAATGAGCTTCACGGGGATGCATACAGTGATGTAATATAAATTGCAGTAAAACACATTAAAGAGATTAACCCGCTTTCGATGAATATTAAAAGATTCATTAAAAATCCTTTTAAATAAGCTTTCTTGACCTAGTCGCTTTATTTGATTGATATAAACCTTTCGAGACATTGGTATAAAGGTAATAACACACAGAATTAAAAGGATAGTTCTGTTTAAAAGTTAATATTTTCTAGTGTTTCATCAAACATTTGATTATTCTTCTATTACTATTAGTATTTAAGATCCATACCCGTCAAGTTATCCGAAGGGGGTAGTGCACTCCATCTGCCCGTCCGTAATCGACGTTTCTGTACTTTTTTCTGTAAAAGAGGGAATGGTGCAATGATAAATCATAAGTTACTTTAAAACAGAAAACGTCCAGGCCGAAAAAAAAAACCGATAAAAAGAGAAACATCAGTTCACAAAACACTCGACAGAATACTAACCATTGATTCTACGAGCCTCACATTAAACCGGTATGCAGTGAAGTGGTCCAGAGGAATGAGCAGTTTCTGTAAAAGGTATTTTCCTAATAAAATTAACGGTACCAATTTTCCGGCACCAGATGAAAAAATAATGTATCTTCCAATCTATAGTTATGCCTGAAGGAGAAATATTTTTAACTTAGGTATGATTTCAAAGATTTTATAACAGCAAATGTCAATAAAACAACATATAAGTCATTTCATAAGGATGTTACAGATCACGTTTGGTGTCTGTTTCCAGTTGAGCAATTTTTGAGGAAGTTGTGGCAATATGATATAGAAATTTGCTTAAAAATACCAGTTTTGTTCACTTCTTTGTGTAATGCCCTAATAAATTATTAGATATTAAGTATAGATAAAAGTTTGCCTGGGACTAGTTGTTTTGTTCGATATATTGTCCCTTGAACACAGATGATAGGTATAAAATACAAGTTTCTAAGAACAAAATATCTTGATTTCACTAAGAATTAAGTTAAGCTGACAATTATTGAAAAAATCTGCAACTTGTATAAATATTCTGACCCGATTAATAATAACATTGAAAGACATGACTACGTCATCAGTATGTTCCTTTCTCAATAAGAATTGAACATTCCTTCAAATAGTTCTCTATTGAATTTTAATCTCATATAAGTATTACTCATACCCAATGTTCTATTGAATTCCGAAGGGGACCTTTTACTGCTTATGCAATGCCATGATAATGATTTCTTTCATTTTCAATTAAATTTTAGAGAACTGCTGCTTATGAAGCACTTCTGGTTAAAAAAAATTCAAGTATAAGTACGTTGTTTGAATTACAAGTTAACGTGAAAAATTTCACACGAATTCAGATGTGCATACATTTGTAAATTACGACAGTTTTATATTTAATTTTGTGACTGCTCTCTATGTTTTGTTCTCAGAAGATAACATACTTGTCATTTGTTAAACCTTTCCTTAGAAATAACTATAAATATGTTTCGAAATGTAAAGAAAAGCAAGTGTGAAAACACGTTTGATATGAAAGGGTCATTATTATAAATAACCACTGTGGATAACTTGGTTCAAGTTATGTTATCTCTCTCATTTCAGTTGTCAATATATGCACAGACGACACTACAATCCAGGATGCTAGCAATACAGTTATAATAAAAGCTGATTTAAGACAAAACTGTACATGTAAACTATCTGTAATCAATCAAGATAAAGCAGTTATAGTAAATTTTCAAAGATATAATCAGGAGACTAGTTCTAGTCCGTCACACTACGGTTGTGGTTTGATACTGACGTTTGGTAGTATCGAAAGTATTTGGGAGGCTCAATGCATAGTTGATGATAGTATTTTTTTATATACATTAGCAATCAATGGTGAAATGACAATTAGGTCATTGACTGTAAATGGAACGTTGAAAAAAAATGAAGGATATTGTATTGAAATAAGAAACGGTATATATTAGTTGTAATTTTGAAAATTAAGATTTTTTTTTTTGTCATTTTAGAACCTTCAATATTTTGTGTTTCATCTTTACGCGGGAGAAGATTGCTCTTGAAAACCAAATTTAAATTACAGGATGAAGCTGTAGCTTAACATAACAGTAAACATTGTATATAAATAAGGGATGAACAATGCACCTAGCTGCAAGATTTACACAAAAATATATGCATTGAAAAGTCAGAAGAACCCACCACAATACAAATCAATAGTTGTTATTTTTTTTACTTTAAATCTTTTACCAAAATTCAAACCTGGATTTGTCACTATCCGCCAATTGATACTTTTATGTCGACCTTTAACCTTACTGCCTAGTATTTTTAAGATCATGGACAGGACTTGATGTTCGGAAATATTAGGCAATGACGTGACGTCATGTATCAATGCAGCAACGTCATGTGATCAAGTCCATCCACATCAATTTATCAATGAAATGCACGCGTCTTCATTCAGAAAACCGAACAAATACCCTAACGTTTTGCACGCATACAAGTAGTTTTACTAGGTACTTCATTTTGCTTCATATTCTCAACCAAAAAAACATACAATTAACACAAATTGCCGATAAAAAGAATAAAGGCATTTTATTTTTTGATACTGACTTCATCAGCTCGAACATCAGCTCGCCATAGCGGGCTCGCTTGATATTCTTGCTGATAAAGTCAGTATCAAAAACAAAAAATGCCATAATTCTATATAACTTTCCAACGTTTAAATGAAAATGCGTTTTGTAACAAGAACATAACTGAAACTTTTTCTTGAATCAGTATGAACTATATATCCATTTTGTTGTCTTTGCATACACGATATAAAATTGATCGCCATTATATGTTTTTGATTCACAGTAGTACATGATGATTCATTGGGAAACAAACTCAACTTAACGTGTGGTATTGGCAGCACTACTGCATATTCAACCACAGCTGCAATTGCAAAAACAACAAGATCGTCGACTGATGTAACAAATCAACTACCATTGATGACAACAAGAAGGACAGAACACCAATTAACAACATCACTTGAATCTGATGAATTTATCTCTGCAACTGTTACAAGTACAGATGTTCCTCAGAACACAAAACTTACAAATCAACAACAAAAAGATAAAGGTAACTGGTTGCACAATCTAATGATAGATTTTCCTATCTAAGTCACTTTGAGTATAAGACTTAAACTACAAGTGTGACATATCACATTGAAGCGTCAGTAGCAATCAATAAAACCGTACGTTCATCTCCACAGATGATAATTTTATATCAATTTGTTTAATTATATTTAACTTTTATTTGAATTTTGTTCCCTTTATTCATTACTTTATAAGATTGCTCGCTTCAAAGTTTCCGTCTGGTATATATCTATTTTGCTTGACCTCATTTCCATGGTTCGGCAACTGATTTAAAAACTTTACCTTTATAATTATATCTGACATATGGTTCCTTTCAAGGGTTGATGTCTGCCGGACAGTTTTTACTTGTTCTAAGCCTCATTGTGTGGATTTATAATCTCGGTCCGTTTTTCGTAGTCAACATTCGTATCTCAGACACTTAAAACAATAGGTAAACTATATATCTATGTAATGATTGTAATGTGTATGTGACGGTCTCTCAGGGTTCATCTGACATTGACCTCATTTGAGTGGATGATTGGTAAATGTTAAATAATTCACGGTAAGATCAATTTCTCAAATAATTTCAACAGTAGGTCAACTAAATTTGGTTTATGGAACGATTGTAAATTTCTGGAAGTGTCCATATGGCAAAGTTTATTGCATCCTGATATCATATTGATATTCATTGTTCAATGTTAAGTTTTATACATAGCTGGGTCATCAAAATGTTCGACTAAACATCTTTCTAAAGTACTGACTACTTTTCTTTCTACAGTTAAAGATGGGCTTCAAAAATATAGTGATGAGATATATTCTACCAGTGGTGTAAACAAGATGTGGATTCTCAAACATTCGAAAGATCTACTGCTTAATCTTCGATCACAATCTTTGAAATTTTGCAGCAACATAAAGACTTTTGATTTTTCTACACTTTACACTACTATTCCCCATGCTCAGTTGTAAGATCGACTCCACCATCTCATTAAACAGAGCTTTTTTCTATAAAAATGGGAATCGTTGATACAAATTTCTTGTTTTGGGTTACAATAATTCATATTTTGTAAAGAACCACACTGAATCTACCAGAAAATATACTGAAGATGATATTATCAAAATGCTGAACTTTTTGATCGACAATATATTTGTTGAGTTTGGAGGATTGGTATTTCAACAGACAGTCGGTATTCTAATGGGTACTAATTGTGCACCCCTACTGGCCGATCTGTTTTTGTACTCGTATGAAGCAGAATTCATTCAACACCTTCTAAAAGACAAAAAAAAACACCTTGCGAAATTCTTTAATTTTACTTTCAGATATATTGATGATGTCCTATCATTGAATAACCCATATTTCTGCCAAAACTTACATCTCATATATCCCAGTGAACTTGAAATTTAGGATACTACTGATACTAGAAGGACTGCTTCATACCTTGATCTTTTCCTCAATATTGACACAGATGGACGACTTCACACGAAAATCTATGATAAACGGGACAATTTCAACTTCCCAATTATCAATTTCCCATTTCTCAGCAGTAACATACCCGCTGCTCCTTCGTATGGTGTTTACATATCTCAGTTGATACGTTATGCTCGTGCTTATTCACACTATACGGACTTCATATACAGGAGTGTGCTCCTAACGCAGAAACTGCTCCAACAAAGTTATGAGGAGGACCTTTTAAGTACCGAACGTGACTTATTCCCGATTGTGACTGTTTTGCTGAGTGTGAGTTCGCATTGCTATAAGACGTGTCACGGTATTTTTCTATCCAAAATCCATGTATTTAGTTTTTATGTTATATTTGTTATTCTCATCGGATTTTGTCAAATGTCTTATCGTTTGTAGTTGTAAATCTTATTTTTTTTTCTGTTCTACTCGTGTGTTTAATTAATCACCCAATTCATTTATAAGAATTTAGTTTGGGTCAACTAAATTTATACGATGTATTTGGTTTACAGTTTGATTTAGAAGAAATACTGACATAGCTTGATAATGCAATTAATTATCTAATTACTACCACAATTTTATATTAATAAGTATTGTAATTTTCATTGTTATTAATACATGTTATATCAGTATTACAAACCTAATCTTGAACTCTATCCTATTTTTTTGGAGGAAATTTATAGAAATTTAAATGAGACGTCACATTGTGCGTCGATTTCTTCGGCTAACATATAATACGTTGTTCGACTGTGCCTTTTTTATGTGCTGATTTAGGTTGTTTTATGTATTCGTTTTTATTCTGTAGTTAGTCACCACATCGGTGTTAACATGTATATCTATTATATAGTCATTTTTATAAATTTACTGTTTGCAAAAGTATGAATTATTCTAAATGCTAAGGATTTTCTTATCCCAGGCATATAACCTTATCCGTATTTGGCACAACATTTTGGAACTTTTGGTCCTCAACGCTCTTCAACTTTGTACTTGTTTTGGCTTTCGAACTTTTTTTATCTGAGCGTCACTGATGGGTCTTATGTAGACGTAACGCGCGTTGGCGTATTAAGTTATAAGCCTGGTACCTTTTGATAGCTATTATTTGTGTGTGTCTCTGTCCTGTATGTTCTCCCATTTTATTTGTATTGTAGTCCTGTTATGTAATCTTGTCATTTTAATGTTATATTTAACATTGCCATACAAGCGGGAGGTTTGGCTAGCCACAAAACCAGGTTCAACCCACCATTTTTTCTTAAAATGTCCTGTACCAAGTCAGGAAAATGGCCATTGTTATATTATAGTTCGTTTCTGTGTGTGTTGCTTTTAAGTGTTGAGCTTCTGTTGTGTCGTTGTTCGCCTCTTATATTTCATGTGTTTCCCTCAGTTTTAGTTTGTAATCCGAATTTGTTTTTTTTCTTTATCGATTTATGAATTTCGAATTCACAATTTGTTAAAGTCCTTTTTGCTTATCTGATGCACTATAAATATTTTGTATTGTCGTATTAAATGAAGATAACACCAGAAATACAACGCGTTTTGTTCGCACTGACACCGATATCGTAATTCCTCGACTATTTGTTATATATAGTATATCTCTATGCCGATAACTGTCGAAGGTACACTGTCTACGAATACACATCGAAAATTCTAATTGTTAAACCGTACATTAATTATATACCTAGTAGTAATACCAATATAATTCCCCGAACAAAGTTCTTAAAACTATACTAATGTCTCGGGTTGATACGGGTGTGATATTGAAAAAAACATATGATATTTATCAACTGTGTTTGGTAAAATTGGATCATATGCAGAAAAATGATCAATGTCATTAATTTCTAAAATAATAGGAATAAAAGTAAAGTCAGATTTCAACATGGTTGATTGATTAATATTTTTCTCTTATATTGAATTAAACCTTCCACTTTCAAAGGATTTCTTCAAACACCTTTTTCATTGTTATTATCAAGCATTATAAAATATTGACAATTATAGCTAGTAAACTTGAAATCTATACTGATTCGAACGCAATATTTTCAGCATTTGTTATTTAAAAACAATTAAATTCTTCAAGTATTTAAAGAAACAAATCGCAAGCATAAAGAGGTTATTGTTTGCCAACAGTGAAAACATATATGTCAATGACAAATCCTAACAAATATCAAATTGTAAGACTATTCAATGTGTGACATCTATTCTAAAATAAAAGGCAACAGAAGGATACCGCTGTTCAAAAGTCATAAATCGATCGTGAGAAATTAAATCCGGGTTACAAACTAAAACTGAGGGAAACACATCAACTATAAGAGGAAAACAACCGAACAACAGAAACACTGAAATGCAACAAAAACAAACGCCAACATACATAGATACGAAATTTAATAACAACTGCCATATTCCTGACTTGGTACAGGACATTTTAAGAAAAAATGGTGGGTTGAACCTGGTTTTATGGCTAGCCAAACCTTCCGCTTATATGGCAATGTTAAAAATACCGCTAAAATGACAACATTACGTGACAGGAATACAGTACAGATAAATGCAAGAACACTCAGGACAGAGAAATACATAAATAAATAATACAATAGTACATTTCATCTTGTAAACCACAGAATAACAACGAACACCTAAACTAAATTTACGACAGAACACAAATACAGCACAATAGATTTATGAACTGTGCGTCGCACGAATGTATCAACGCCACAAAAAGTGACATTTATTATTATTTATGAAAAATTACATAAAAAGCGATATTAAAATTCATAATTTCTCCAGACAAGATTACTTTGGCTGTATTTGGCAAAACCTTTCGGAACTTGGGTCCTCAATGCACTTCAACTTCGTACTCTTTTTGCCTTACTTAACTTTTTTGATTCGACCATCACCGAAGAGTCTTCTGTAGACAAAACGCGCGTCTAGCGTAGAAAAAATTAAATCCGGGTATCTATGATGAGTTTATTCATGATTCAATGACAAACTGACGTCTTTGCAAAAAAAAAAGAAAAAAAAAAAGAAAAAAAATATTTAAATGTATATGTGAGATCCTTTATTTCAAGTTCGATGGGATAGAACCGTTCAGCATAGTCACCATACTTTGAATTATCTAGTGAGCGGAAATTATCTATTTAGTGGAAACTGAAAATTAAGAGATAATGCTAACTTCTTTTCATTCTTCCTGAGAATCTCCTGTAAGAAGTCTGCTTCATATGATTTAGTTACATTGAGTCGCATATAACTTAATGGTTGTAATCTTTTATCCTTTTCAATAACACAATCAATCCAAGGATTTGTCTTTTGAATCTAACATCATTTTGAAATCATTGTTTCTTCTAATCACATATATATTTAAATATGGAGTTATTCGATTGTCTTTCAACTACATCTGTTTACGTTTTTTCCTTACCCCCACGTCAGGAGGGAAGGGTAATAACAATGAACAAATATTGCTTTGAATGGATTGCAAAATTTTGTAGGTATTGATGATACAGCATTATACGTATTGATATCAGTAACAGTGTTCGGAGTTGCTACAGTACTCATCGTAACAATAATAGTTTTATATTATAGAAGGTTAGTATAAACACTTTGTTATTTCCACGTCGAATATCGATATATTTGCACCTGACGTTTGATCATTTGTGCCCCAATACGTCTAGATACATTTGACCCAACGAGGTGTTCAAAACTCATTTAACCGATATTATATCTACATGTGCTGATTATCGTACTGCATCTAAATACACAAATGTTTATAAAACGTAATTGTAACTAATCTGAAAATGAATGAACACTTTATAAATTACCTGCGACCGAAGCACTTTAATGTATTATAAGCCCAGTATATTTAATGAGTTTTGCCTTTACCAAGAAAGCGCAAGTCAAAATATGTAAGTTCCAAGGCTGTATATATATACCTTAATGCGAAAGGAGCTATGACATAGGAACATAAAAGATAGCGTAATTCATCAAGGAAAACTGTGTATAAGAGAGTGAGAACATTAGTTTCTTATGATTTCTCAATTTGCAAACGGGGAATTTACGAAAAGTATGTTATACATCATGTCCTTTTGGACCAACAATTCCTCCAGCAAGCCAACGTAAAAAAAGCATTTGGTATACAGTGTGGAAAGACAAAAAGTCTAAATATTTTGTAAATTTTAGATGCGGTACATAAACTTGATGAGTTTTTTCAAAAAATATTATGAACATAAATGAATTCTATATCAAGAAAACATGAATTCTGATGGAAATAACAATTATAATGATTTTCAACTTCGTACTTTGTTTGGCCTTTTTAACTTTTATGATTCGAGCGTCACTACTTTTGTAGACAAAACGCACGTATTTGCGAACAAAATTTCAATTCTGGTATCTATGATGAGTTCATTTATTTACACCAATTATTGACAAATATTCAACCAATAAATATCTTGCAATTTTAAACAGATTTTCTTTATACTATCAATAGATATATGAGTACCAAATTAGTTATTTCATGTGTTATATAGGTTCCGAATATTGACGCAGTGTAGGAACAGGACATGTTCAGGATCAAATACCGTTTATGATACACTGAGTTTACCTTCATCAGTAAATGGAGCAGACAATACCAGTATTAGTAATAATTATAGTTCTTTAAACATAAATGATTCTCTGTATTCATGTGATAATAGAAGATTAGATGGAACGCAAAACATTCCATTATTTACAATCAGTACAGTGCAGGGAAACAGCACAAATGTCTCGGAAAATGAAAGGAATTACGAAAATACAAATAAAAGTAGAAGCGAATACGCAAACCTCGTTTTGTAGAAACAATAGGATATTCTTTATTATTACGGCCTCAAAAAGTCTAATAAAATATTCATAAAGAATGAACATTGTAGTATCTGCTATTTATAAAATGATTTGCAATATATGAACGTGTTTCCTCTATCACCAATCAACTTATATAAAACAATTTACGACAATTGGTAACAGAATCTTGCCCATCTGACAATAATCAATAAGTAATGCAGCCAAAGGATATAAAATGAATTTAAGATGTTTTCGTTTCTGATAAGAAGTGGGAAGAAGACACGGATACACTTATAAAGAAATTAGACACCGCCGTGATATGTAAATGCCATTGCAGAGAATACAAACAGACTTCTATGCTTGTTAGAAAAAAACCTGATTAGATATAACAACGTTGATTCCAACAAAAAGACAATTAAACTTGTAATCCGATTGCACGGAATTGAGCCACCTTCTATGGTATTTGACCAATAGTCGACAAACTGGTAGACTTACAGAAATAATTGTCCTACTTACGTAATTGCAGTCACAATTTGAATGAACTACTTTGATATTATGATTTACTTATGATTATGATGAACTTTTGGAACAACATGCAGAATAAATCGCAAAAAACCCGTCTTATTTCTCATAAGAGGAGCAATATACATACATTACATAATTTTTTCTGAACACAATTAACGTACTAGTACTTTGCCCTTTTCATTAACCTGCATCATTACATGTCTCCTTTAGAACTTCATATGGCAATGTTGACCGCATGTGGTTTAACCTTTCGTATCAGAATATTTCTTGCAATATAATTCTCCAATACATTAACGGTAACAATTGTTAGCTGATTTTGACAATTTATCTCTCTTCAGTGATGTTCAAGATTAAATGCTTTAAAATCCAACACCTTATACAAACATTGAAGAACTGGTATAACAAACAAACATACAAACACCACACCATAAGCAAAGGCTAACCCCTCATGCTTCAATACATAATATATCCCCAGTTTTAAAATGTATGGTGTCAAGTCCCCGGTTTTAAAATTCATTCGTTTCAACGATGTATACATATGTGTGTGGATTAGCAGAAAAACAAAGCCCTCCCAACAAAATGAAGAAAACATCACTTTTGTAATCAAATGAAGAAGAATGCGTAGAACCTTCTCAAAAACATAAATAAAATATGCCTAGTTTCACTTTCAGATGTATTGATGAAGCTTGTCATTCAAAAATACATAGTTCAGTGGGTACTTGTATCTCCTAGTATGAAGTGAACTTAAGATTCAGCATACTACCGAATCGGAGAGGTCTGCTTCATATCTTGATTTTTCCTCTAAATATTGAAGTATATGGACAATAGAATTTATGACAAACGTGATGATTTCAGTTTTCCAATTGACAACTTCCTATTGTTAATTAATGGAATACCCTCTCGTCCATCGATTGACTTTACGTATAATTCAATCATTTAACGTGTCACTGGTAAAATACGACAGTGTAAAGATATAGTACTGTGACTTCATATCTTTCCTGTTCTGTGAATAACACTTAAGGAAAAAGTTACGAGTCCCTTAAGTATACATCATACAGAAACAACGAAAACAAACCCGAAAAGTATACAATGTAACACAGAGATGTGAATTTGATAGCAAAACAAATCGTTTAACAGAAACGATATTGACCAGAGCTCGAAGCATAAAAAGGAACAATGTGTGAATTCTGATTCTTCTATTCGTGATCTGTTGAGTGCTAAACCACTCCATGTCAAACAATTAGCAAACTCGAAAATATATAATCTCAAATATATAAGAGTTGGACTTTAATCTACCTAAAGCTCGAATCTTTTGATATGAATAATGTTTTAATTGCATGTAGTAGCTGACAACTGTATCCGTATGGAGTCCCTAGTGTGACAGTATTTGCTTTAAGTTAGCTGAAAATCTGAAAAGCTCTGTGATATTGGCAACCAAAAAAGGATAGTTAGATCTTCGACATATCACGTTCATATGGCAAAAATTATTACTAGACTAAGTCTAAATAAGTAAGTAATACCACCTTGGTGTAAAAATGTCATAGTGAATTAGTTTTTACATAATGACTATAAAACCAGCAAAGGTCATGATTTCTTATAACAATATTTTAATATTTTGAACTAACTATCAGTAACTTCGAGAACTCTCAGATCCGTCCTTTGGGTCTTTTTTGTTTTGTTTTTTGGGATGTATAAATATCTCCCACGTCCGATCTGTGTTTTCGTCAGATGTTTTTCTGCTTTATATCGATATGATTAGTTAAGTCCTTTTCATCTGATTTTTTAGTTTGTTCTTATGGTATACTGTTACATAACTGTCCAACGTTAGAGGGAGGGTTGACACCCTCAAACATGTTGAACCCAGCCACATTCTTTATGTGCCTGTCCCAAGTCAAGAGCCTGTAAATGAGTAGTTGTAGTTTTTTGCTGGTTCTCGTATTTGTTTTTCGTTTATTGTTTTGCAAAGTTTGTTCTTGTGTTGTGCAGCTACACCACTGTCCCAGGTTAAGGGCAGGATTGGTGCATTCTTTAACCCCGCCATATTCTATATAAGACTGTTGCAAGTCAGTCAGGAGCCTTTTACTAAGTGGTTGTCGTTAGTTAATGTCTTTTATATCTGTTTTTCGTAAATTGTTTTATTATGAATTAGGCTGTTAGTTTTCTCAATTGATATTTTTTATGTCGGGGCCTTTTATAGCGGACTTAACAGTATTAGTTCTTCATTGGCGAAGGCCTAAAGGTTGCCTATAATTACTTACATCCAATTCATGTGAACTTTGGTGGACTATATTTATATGTATATCTCTTTGAGGGTTCCGTGTGTGGGTGTTGCATGACAAAATGTTTGTACCTATCCAATATACCCTCATATTGTCCAGTGGCAATCTAAATGTCCCGACTATCATCCCGAAAGGCCTCTATTACTGAACCTACCTATTGTATGTATTATTAACATGTTCTCGTCCTGAACATGCATGCAATATATCCCGCTGGACGTTAAGCAAGCAACCATCAATCAATCATATTGGCTATGTTTAACTGTTTTATCCCTAATTTCAATAAAAGGGATGCCTTGTCAAATCCTGTATACAAGGTAACATGGGTAATGTTTGTAACAGCTTATTGTGCAATTTAAAGGGGGGAAAACAATTGATAAAAACTTGACAGATCATTGAAGTACCGGAGATATAATGTTAAAATTGCAGTTATATAACTGTATTGAGTTAATTCTTTTCAGAACGATAGGTCTTTCTGTTGAAGAAAAACGCAGACGATACCAAGTTTCAATCAAATGTGCTTCAAGGCATACAATAATTACCTGCATTAAGCCATTATTTATCCTGATTAGAATGTAAACAAACTACAGTGTACTAAAACATTTAATTCGTTTGAACGCTATAGAGGGGTCTTGTCAATTGTGGTTGTACTGTACAATTCACCATCTTGAACAGTCTTTAAGGGTTTAAGGCAGAAAAAAATATTCTCTCCTACGTTGATGAGACTGAAATACACGAAGACATTGTTAATGAATAGTTTAACTTTGAATTTCGTAACAAATAATGTGAAGTTTTGTTAGTTTATCTCTACAGTTAAGAGGCATTATATGAGATACATTTAATAATGCAAAACTTTTCAAAACACTTTTAATCAATCCCAAATTGATCACATTCGTGTGTAGGATGATTCACACTATATTAGAAATCGTATTATGACGATTGATGTCAGTATTGCGTGTTACATCTATATTACTATTTTGTGCACTTTTCGTGTCAGTTCTTGATTTTTTGTTACATTTATAAATACCCTTTACTACCTTAGATGACGACATATTTACAGTTTCGGTAGAAAAACATCCACGTACATTAAAAGGAAGAGTAATGAAATGATACGTTTTAATTGCGATGTGTCTCAACCTGAAAATAAGAAGTGTCCATTTGAAAGCAAAAAAATATCCAAACTAAGAAATTATCAACACGAAACTCACAACCATCATATCGTAGGATTTTTTTAGAAATTAATATATATTAATATTTTGTCAGAAAACTTAATTAATATGTAAGATGAATCTCATGTGAGACATAACATTTTTATATTTACATGATAAATCAATAGAGATTTAAATTTAAAACGTAGCGGATATCTCATTTCAGGTGCATTTTAATGATATTCATTTCAACTTAATTAAACCAAAAAACAGTACACCAATTTAATTGCAAAAGATCCACACTCCGACAATTAATGTCACCATAAGTCAGAACACTTGTAAGTCAAACATTTAATATTTACATTGAGGAGCTGATAAAAATCTGAAAGGACCATAAGATATACCAAACCTGCACTTATAAATGATTTAATCTCTGTTCATGAATACACTTTATGCGTGTTATTAATTTAAAATATTCATGTTAATTGGAAATCAATATAAAAGAACTATAAATAGTTTAAATTGTTGAATAAACTTGTATATAACCGGTTTTACCATTTAACACTTCCTACTTTTGGTTTGAAATCAAAGTGATCTGTTAGTAAAATTGGTATGAAGGCGATGCCATTAATATATCTACCATTGTTAGTTACATTTGTTACTATTATAGGTGAGTTGTCTACTTTCACGTCAGTTTTTTTTCACTCTTGTAGAAAAAATAGGTTGTGAATAAATCACAGTTAAGCAATTAATTAACATTTTAAATAACCGAATTATACTTTGACTCATGTATCAGAAAACAATATTTATATATATATATATTAAAAATATATTCAGCAGAATCAAATAACAATGTATGTTAAAAATTGTTAAAAAAAAAAGAAATGAGCCTTTTTTATGCACGACAACAGTAAGGAAATAATATTGAGTTGTTTCTTTGTTTTTTTAATTCTTAAGAAACAAACTATATCTTGATAAACATATCTAATTTGTCTTGATGCATTATATCTTGCATTTGACTATAGTAGCTAAAACATGAAAACGACACGTTATTAATTTCATGCGTCCGAAGCGCTTTTCTGGATTTACCTTCATCAGGAACGCTCAAATCCGAATATTTGAAAGCCGTGAATGTATAAGAACCAAAACAGTTGAACAGCTATATAACCAAAACTATAAATTTAGACAGGTAAATGTAGATTTGCAGCACAATATTTATATTGATGATAAGTATTGGTTACGAAAAATCAATAAAAAACCGATGCAATAGTCTAATGATATCCGTATATGCTTTTAACTGAGCAAACACTAAATATTTATAAATGAGACATTTTTCTTATATTCTCCTGATATACAATTAACTTTGTATCTATTTGATCCCTTATCAACTGATTTTTTATAGTTTGTTATATTGTTACACCACTGTCCCAGGTTAGGGGAGGGTTGGCGCCTTCAAACTAGTTTAACACCGCCACATTTTGTATGTGCCTGTCCCAAGTAAGCAACCTGTAATTCAGTGGTTGTCGTTTGTTGCTGTATTTGGTTTTCGTTTATTATTTTTTACATAAAACAGGCCGTTAGTTTTCTCGTTTGAATTGTATTACATTAGTCATTTCGGGGCCTTGTACAGCTGACTATGCGGTATGGGTTTTACGCATTGTTGAAGGCTGTGCGGTGACCTATAGTTGTTTATTTCTGTGGCATTTGGTCTCTTGTGGAGAGTTATCTCATTGGCAACCATACCACATTTTCCTACTTTTATATATATCCAACGACCAGCTAAACTAGGTTTAAACATTTCCACAAGACATAACGTGGAAAATCATTTTCAGGTAAATACAGCATAATTTGAATGAAGATTTTTTTTTTCTTCATGCAAAGTTCGCGTTATTGGAAACTATTTCGGATTATGGTGAAATTTTAAACGCATCTAGAATTCGTTGAATTGTATCTGTATGTCGAAAACATATGCATAAAGATACAGTCAATACGAACTTCGTAATATATATCTATACATTTATAGATGATATTTCAAAATCGTCGAACAAGGTGCATTTTTCACTTGAAATAGTGTTTTTCTCGAAAATCCGTTCATAGAAATTTGAATAAGAATGATATGCTATAATTTTAACTTTTCCATTTTTATTATTTGAGAATTTAGGGGGTCCTTAGTAGAAATCAACTATGCTCGATATTAAGTGTAAAAAATGGTCAAACAGCATAATAATCGTGACATCGTGACGGCATCTTGCTGCAACATCGCATTTTTTTCGTGTATTTTCGTACACTATTAAGCATTGATTGACCTAGACAGCATAAATGAATCCGGTGATCGTTTGATATTTCCACATTTTTAAAACGGAAATGGTTTCAGCAATAATATATAATTTATAAACAATATTTTGTTGACGGATTTTTCGAGAAATTAACTTTAACTTCCTATGTGCTGTCCAACAGTTTTGATTCGGCAGTGATAAATATAATGTAGACAAATAGCTCGTCTGGCCTAACACATTATTAACCTGGTATCTTGGATGATTGTTTGCATACATTCTCTAAATGTTTACACATTTGTCAAAAGTTTCGATTGACTGTATCTCTGAAAGTATACCATATACATGTGGATACTGTCCAAGAAGTTCTAAATGGATGCAAAATGTCATCAATCACCGAAAAGTAAGGAAGTTTTGAACAAAAGAATAAACAAAAATAGCCCCCCAAAAAAAAAACAACAATTCACAGGTACATTTTGTTGGAAAAAGATCTTAGCTTGGCGACTCATTATCCATTAGGGACAGATCAATCTATAAACTACAATAACCAGTATATTTAATACTGGCCGTAATTAAAAAGTAACAATAAAATCTGATTAGTCTGAACCTTCATGGGCATCAACTCACAAAAAGTAGACTGACAATTTACACCTTGTTGACAAACCTGAAGATCATAAAAAGTATTTCATAAAAAAAAAATACATTAATAGAGGTGTTGATTTTATTAATTTGTCTAGTATTTTTCATGACTATCGTTCAAAACATTATATCTCCATATTTTGATAGAGTCACCTATAATTTTCTATTCGTTTAAAAAAAACAGTAGAAGTTTACTTTTTAATTTTACGTCAGTTACATCAGTATAAAAAACAATGCTCCTTCGACATGAGACTGTGAAACATCAAAGTTTAGAGGTGATCCATATGGCCATGAAATTACAGGGGACGTAAACTTCGTTCAAAACCGAGAGGTTATAAACTTTCTGAAAAAAGGACCAAAATATAGTCCACCGTCGAAAATAAATTGGGGAAAGAGTGTTGTCAGGTTATTAAAGATGCTCTTTCATCCTATTGTGAAAAATGGTATAAACGGGAGAAATCTGTCAAAAAGTCACTTAATTCCTATTTGAATAAATGTTTGATAATTGTTGACATTCGCATATCACATTTCGAAAATAATTCAGAACTAAATAAAAGAGCGTAAAACTCCTATTTCTAGGATTTATAACAAAATTCAAGAACTCGCAAAGCGTTTTGCGTTTTTACCGGCCGACAAAGCAGCCAATAATGTGGTGGTGGTACGACGTAAATACTACATGACAGTCCTTAAGAATGAAGTTATACATTCAACTACATTAAAGGCCGTACGATCCACAGAGAGTCATATGGTAAATAATCATGTCACAACCACAGCAAAGTTTAAGGCCTCTTTTTGAAGGTCCCCACTATGTATTGGTTACCTAAACTACACAAGAAACCCGTTAAAATATCATTTCATCTCGTCCTCTAGTAAGTGTTCTACAACTAGATTTTCATTGCTTTTAGCGAGTTCCATAACCACAAACTACTTAAAACCTTTACTAAATTCTCCATAGATACAAAGATTTGGTTTGCAAGTTTGGCTGTACCTGTAGAAAACTTATTTCAAACGGAATAGCAATTTTTACGGTGATGTAGTTACCTATTCAACACTGTAATTAAATCTTTGGATCTTGTTTTTATTGGTATAAATATTGATTTTGTTATCAGTAAATTAAAACCATACTAAATATTACACTTTTGTACCTTCACGATACTATAATCTGTCAATACTTATGTTTTGATATTTTAGACTTTGATACATGATTTTTTTAATTAGTTGTTATTGGCTTTGAACTAGCTGTTAGTAACTGCAGGTACTCTCAGATCTGTACTTGGTGGTTTTTTGTTATTAGGGATGAGGGATAGTATATATAACCTGCCACGTCCGGTCTGTTTAATGTATGTCTTTGTATCAATCTGATGAGTTAGCATTTCTTCAACTGACTTTTATAGTTTGTGCTTATGTTGTGCTGTTACACAACTGTCCCAGGTTAGGTTGTTTTTGGCCATGGCGTTGTCAGTTTGTTTTCAATCTGTGAGTTTCACTGTCCCTCTGGTATCTTTCGTCCCTCTTTTAGGGGAGGGTTGAAAGCTCACACACATGTTTAACTCGCAACATTCGCAGACTGATGTAACATCCCAAGCAAGGAGCCTGTAGTTCAGTGGTTGTCGTTGGTTCACATCTGTCATATTTGTTTTTTTGTAAATTGTTTTGTTATAAATTAGGCCGTTAGTTTTTTCAATTGAATTGTTTCATATTTTTCATGTCGGGGCCTTTTATAGCCGAATATACGTATGGGTTCATTGTTGACGGCCATACGGTTGCCTATAATTGCTTACATCCACTTTATTTGAACTTTGGTGGAAAGTTGTCTCATTGGCAATCATATCACATCTCATTATTTTTATATTAACCCTCCAATAATAACCAATAACTCCAATACGAAGTCGACTTACGAATTTCTGTCATTTGACTTATTTGGAGATCTGGGCGTGATCTTGTTTCCTGCATAAACTTTCTCCTTATCAAGATTATAGGTCGAAATGAAATCAAAAGGGCATAAATCTTCATGTAAGTGCAAAAACTCCTTTAAGAATTCGTCCGAACAAATTTTGAGAAAATTTCTGTGTATGTATATCTGTTTCTTCTTCGCACTTCTTAATAGAAACTAAATAATCTTAAATACAGTTCATATCTTTTGGAAATGCCTGTACCAAGTCGGGAATATGGCTGTTGTTTTCCATTCGTTTGATGTGTTTGAGTTTTTGATTTTGCCACTTGACATGAGACTTTCCGTTTGAATTTTCCTTGAAGTTTTTTGTTATTTTACTCTTTTCTGAACATTTCTTGCCCATCAGACTGTATCTGTAACAGAGTTCAAGACAAAAACAGATGATGCAATTTACCTATATAATTTTGTTTGGCCATGTCGGCATGTTAGTTGGTAGGAAGGATCATCAGAAATATTTTTTAAAACTAGATACTCAAATGATGATTGCGGCCAAACTTGGTTTTTATCATGAATTGAATCGATATTTAGAGTATTCAGGTTAAGTCGAATGGCAATCATATCTCCATGATAACAATGTGTTCTTGGAGACTCAATTTTATTGAAAATGTGGTGTTTTGTGGTTCCTTATTAGCCGTCACAAAAACCGAAAGTTCTGAGTTCAATTCCGGTCTAAATAAGTTGTAACTTTAAGTAAAGTTTTGTTTGCTACATGATTACACAATTAGTAACATTTAGGGGTAAAAACAAATATTTTCTCAAATGAGTTGTAAATTGTGTCTGGGCACGAGTTAATGTATTTAAACGGACAATTCCGCTATGAACTAGCAAGTCAAATATTGACTAAGTGTGTGTATTCTTATGGCTGTAACATGCTTAACTTTTTTGCCTAGGATATAATCATATTGTATGTTTTTATTTTATTTCCATAATCGCTAAACATTGGTACACTATTGAATCGATTAACATAAAAAAAGGGAAATGTGGTATAATTGTTAATGATACAACTATTCACCAAAGTCCAAATGACGTTGATTTTAGCAACTATAGGTCGCCGTGTGGCCTTCAATAGTGAACAAATCCCATACCGTATAATTAGCTATTACAAAAACATAAATAATCGACGGCAACCAAGGACAACCACTGAGTTACAGACCCCTTAACTTAAGACAGGTACATATAGAATGTGGCGGGGTTAAACATGTTTGTAAGTGCCCAATCCTTCTTTAACCTGAGACAGTCCTGTTACAGTACAACATTGGAACAAGCTGCAGAAAAACACCTGAAAATGACTTGACTCATCAGATTGACACAATGTAGAAAACACAGCTAGCATAAATGAAGACAAAAGACCTAAGGGAACTCGCAATAACTGAAAGCTAGTTCAAAGCCGATACGTTGTATTTAATAACTCTTCTTCTCCCAGACTTAGGCGCTTGCATATGGAGTAAATATCTCCCAGTTGATACGACATTCCAGAGCTTTCTGTCATGATTTCCTTGATAGAGGGTTGCTGCTTTCACCAAAGCGATAAAACCAAAGGTTTCAAGATGTAAATTTGCAGTCACCCTCTTGAAATTTATACGTACGCCATCACAATTTAGTTGACTGTCACGGCATATCTGTTCACAGATGGCGACGGATATGTTCCAATTGGTGTAGCCATAATCACCTTTTTCTTGTCCTGGTACATGTGTATGTGACATCATCACCAAGTTTGTACTTACATAATTAATACGACGATGTCATACGTGGGGAAGGATCTGCCTTACCCATCCGGAGCACCAGAGATGACACCCGTGTTTATGTTTATGTCTTCAGTTTGTTTTCTATGTTGTGTTTTGTTAACTGCTGTTTGTCGTTACGCCATATTTCGTTTTTTGTCATTGCGTTGTCAGTTTGCCATCGACTTATGAGTTTGAATATTCCTTCGGTATTTCCCGCCTCTCCTGTTCTAGTACTCGGATATCACCATTGTCTGCAAGCACATGAAATCAGCATACAAGTAATGAAGTTTTTCATACAATAAGTATTTTCCGTTTTCTTTTCACTCAAATTGTTTCTAATACTAGATATTAATGCAGTTGTGCCAAAGGAAAAGATAATTGACACTTGACGATATATTTGGACAATTTCCAAATTTATTTGCTTTTGGATAAATAACAGTATACAAAACATAACATATAAACAAAAGACTGAGCAACGAAAATCCCACAAAAACTGGAGGGGTTATCAGGTGCACCAGAATGGTAAACAGATCCTGCTCCAACTGTGGCACATAATATGTATTAAATTTCCCTACAGACTGGATACCATGCTTAAAATTGTGTAGGCCAGACGCGTTTCGTCTATAAATTACTCACCAATGACGCTGGCATAACAAAAAGTTGGCCAAATAAAGTACGAAGTTGAGGAGCATTGATGACCCCAAACTCCGAAAGATTTTCAAAATTCAACTAAGGAAATCTATACCTGGGGTAAAAAATCCTAAGTATTTCTGAACATTCAACGTTTTTTAAACAGTTAATTTATAATTATAACCATATCAATGATAATTCATGTCATAACATAAGTGTTGCAATGTTTCTATTCATATTTTAGAGACTGCAGGGGAGCCCTGTGCTACAGCAGAAAATTTGACAGGTTAATATACAACATATAAAAATAAGAAGATGTGGTGTGATTGCAATATGAGACTGCTGTCCACAGGAGACCAAATAACATAGAAGTTAACAACTACTAGTCACCGTACGGCCTTTAACAATGATCAAAACAAGTTTATTTTTACATCATAATACATTCCAAGCAAAGCCTTTTTATAACAAAGAAATAGTCAACAGTAAAGTAACCTAATGTCAAAGGTGAACATTTAACGTGAAAACACAAGTGATTTTAAAAGCAGGTACAAATAATCGAAATGATAACCCAATATGTGGACCTAAAAAGATTGGTAAATATAAATTCTCTGAATTGTTGTCATTTGTGTGTACGCAAAAAAGAAATATAATTAAAATAGAAGAGCACACATGGAGTTGTGTGATCACCTGAAGGTTACAATTATTTTTGATTAACTGTTTTAAAAAAGTAAAATAACAAAAATTACTAACTCGAAAGACAATTCAAAACGGAATGTCCCTTAACTGCATTTAAAAGTGGATCCAACGACTGCAGAATCAACGATGTTGATATAAGTTCTTTATTACATTGTTACAGACCTTTTAGATACTATCATATAACTGAAAAACGTTAGAAAAGCAATATTCTGTTGATTGAGATTATATCTAGTGGTTCATAAAAGTATTGAATATAGTTACTTAATATCTGCTGTTGTCTGCTAAATAGAACTCCTAAAACTAAGGGCCAATGAAAATGTACAAACAAAGAGATACATGTAACTTTGTGTGGATAAATGTTTGGGTTTTCATTCTTATCTATATTTTGATCTCAGAAAAATTGGTTGCACAATACGCATGTCAACTGAAAATCATGCACAGTGCAATTTGTATGTATGGTTTATAATGTTCAAAATTGTACTACTGAGAACCGATTTGATATGAAAATGGAATTTTTTTAAATGATTATTTGCAGAAAGTTTATATACGGTATGCTTTCTCTCTCATTTCAGTAGTCAATATATGCACAGATGATACCAAACAACAGGATGATAGCGAATCTGTTTTAGTAAAGGCAAACACTATGCAAAACTGTACATGTGAACTTTCTGTAATCAATCAAGATAAAGCAATATCAGTTTATATGCAAAGATTTGGTCAGAAGACAAGTTCAAGTCCATCAGCTTACGGATGTGGTTTGTTACTGGGGTTTGGTATAGGATCAAATTACAGAGTTTGGGAAGCTCAATGCGTAGTCGGTAATAGCGTTATCTTAGATTCAATACCAATCAACGATACAATGACAATAACATCAATTACTGTGAATGGAACTTTGAAGGATAATGAAGGGTATTGTATTGAAATAAAGAAAGGTACATATTGTTAGATTATTCATACTAAATTAAACATATTTAACAGATTTCAGTACCTACTCACACTAGCTAACGATCAAATTTTGTAAACCGCATATGTATCACACCATAAAAAAATAATTTACTGGACAGAACACTATTCCTTTTTTAATAAAAGTGACACGATAGGGCGTTCACAAAAAGGACACGTTTTGGTGCCATTTAGCAACTAGATATTTTTTTGCAGTTCAGTGACGTCATGTGGACACGTTTAGGGTGACGGACACGTTCTGAGTGTTACAAATATATTAATAATTGAAACAAAAAATGTAATACTTACAACAATGGACAAAAAAGCTTTCACAGCATTGAAATATTCAGTTTAAATTGACAATAATCCACTATAGAATGCTGCACCGTCTGAACATCGCATAATGTGTTACAGTGCAATGATGAAATAAGTATAAAAAAGTGCTAATCATAATCGCCAATCAATAATAAAAAAGTTGGTGTACATGTGATACCATCCATAGGGCCAGTTATTTTGTTAATGAAAAGTAGGGGCATATATTTTCATTGCAAAATAGAAAAATCTAGTTTCGACTTCTATACTGATTATGTTTTATTAGTGTATCATGATGATAAAATTGAGATGAAAATAAATGAACTAAAATTAAAAAAACATACAAGACTAACAAACGCCAGAGGCTCCTGACTTGGGACAGGCACAAACATGCGGCGGGGTTAAACATGTTTTGTGAGATCTCAACCCTCCCCCTATACCTCTAGTCGTAGAAAACAGAAACATATAGCAATACGCACAGTAAAACTCAGTTTAAAAGAAGTCCGAGTTTCTCATTTCTTAGGTAAATGTTATCTTTGGATTTAAAATGTAGCTACTAAACGGATACCAAATAGGTAAATGAAATCAGTTGTATAACAGCTTATAAAAACATAAGCCAATATATAGGGGGATAAGATACCAAAGGCAATAGGGAACCATAGGTCGACGAAAAAGAACATCAACATGGCAGTCTACAAAATACTTCACAGAAAACTTAATATAATATCGTGCTTCACAAAACCGATTACAATCAATGTTAACCAAAATTAAGAAATCCAGAAGATGAAGTATTTTCTGTAATATAAATGTCACCCGTCGTGTTACACCTGTAAGCTTATGGTTAACATATGTTGGTAAATCATATTTAGCTAAAAGGTCAAATATCTAGGCATAATGACAATCCCCTGACGGAGAAGTGATGAATTAGCCGTTTTATAAATCTGAATTCTCCCTTTTAATCTCGATTAGAAGACTACCAGAAGATGCCTAAAAGAACAAATAAAAAAATCAATACAGGAAATGTCCTTAGCTCTATGATATGGGCATACTAAAGAACAAACTCATTAATATATACATTATTAAAGATAAAACAATATTGTTCCGTACATCGATTACGCTTACCTGTTCCAATAAACCGAATTCTACAAAACAACATACTAGTTATGTCAACCTGATGTACTTTTCTGTCTGCCTGATTTTATATGCATTTTAAATTGAGGTTAATATATGGGTATTGTATGCATTCGATGCTCATTTAAAAGTTATTTTCCTGTGTAAAGATTTGCATAAGATTGTCTTTCTTGTACACAATAAATTTATATGTATAATTATACAGTATCAAACAGGAAAAAGTTTCGAGTGAGAATACACTTTTGGCGGCTGGTTATATCTAAATATTAATGGTATGATTTCAAAATATGCAAATATTGGCAGGTTGTCCATGTTTTCCTTCAACACAAGAGGTTTGACCTGAAGAAATCATGTAATAAAAATGAAGAAGTATAGATTTGAAAATTTTATAGGAACTTTATTTAAAGACCTCATATGATAGATTTCTTTTGGCTTGTTATTTGCGAAAGCAAGATGCTAATTAGCGGTCATGCCATATTTTCTTTGTAATGTTTTGTATAGTTGATTCAATAAATAAATTGTGCTGGAACATACGTAATTATTTACCAATGTCGTGATAAAATACAAAAAAGACTAACTGGAATTACCAAAAACATTTGTTTGTTTAACAGACACCATTATGATTTGGTTATGGAACAATTCTGTCAGAGATGAACACGGATAAGCTCTTATTGTTGTAGTCACAAATTTGTCTTCCTCGAATTTGTTATACTGGCAATTTTTTACCATGACCGGTGACACATGGAGGAGGCTCTATTTATCCTTCCGGAGCATATGCAATTACTCCTAGTTTTTGTAGGGTTCATGTTGCACAGTCTTGATTTACTATGTATTGCCTTGAAGACTGTTGTTTGTCTGTTTGTCTTCTTTTATTTTTTGACTTATGATTTTTGAAAGTCCCTTTGGTATCTTCCGGCTTTTTTAAACAGTACCAACCACAAAATATCACGACTGCTCCAAACAAATTTGAAGTATAAACATAGACAAACAACAACGATTAAAATAGTTGCTATATATTGAATTATAGATATGAGATGCTTGTTACTTGCCTACTAGTATTTAATTGATAGACCTTATTTGCAATGACCTTTGCTCCAATAATAGTAAATAAAAGAAGATTTACTTCCTTTTATTTGTGGTTATTAGGATTACAATGGTGTGTTTTTGATTCACAGCCGTCTCTGATAAATCGGGAAACCAGCTGGAGCTAAAATGCGGCAACGGCAGCACCATTACAACTAACACAACACAATCAGCAGAAAAAACAACAAAGATGACTCTGACAACAATTCCAACGACGACTACGACAACAACAACAACAATACCAACTACAACAGTTCCGACAACGACAGCAACTACTGTACCACCACCAACAACAACAGTACCGACGACGACAACAACAACAATAACAACAACAGTTCCGACAACGACAACAACAACAGTACCGAAAACAACAAAAACAACAACAACAACAGTACCAAAAACAACAGCAATTGACACTATTGAGTTCGAAATTCTAAATTTCACAAGTACCGATGGTTCTGTAACCACAAACAAAGCAAATGAACCGAAAAATAAAGGTTACTTATTTCACGATTGTGTAACAGATAAACAAGTTCCTGTTTATCAAAAAAGAAAATCAATTCTTCATTCTAACGTTTGAGATTGTTGAGCATATCAATAGCAACAATAGATTCTTAATTTTTTTCACAGTTCTCTTTCAATAATTTATTATTTACAACAGTTTATAACTGTTCCTATGTTCGACGAAAATGAAAAATTGAGCGAGAGCTAATTATATTGCTAAGCTATTTGTTGGTAACTGTAGATTGTCCTTGGTTACCACGTATTCATTTCATATGTAACACTTTAATTCCCATTACATTATCTTGATTCTTTATTACAAGATGCTAATGAGCAGGTTCCGCTTATTGCATGACCTAGTATAGCATATCGTGTGTCGAGTGTCGAATATCGTGCGTGTCGAGTGTTGTCAATCGAAATAAACGTTTACACTTTCGCTTAGATCTGCGTTTAACCAGTTTTCCGAGATTTTTTTTTTTTTAGTTTACTTTCCTGAGAACTATTTTATTCTTCTTTTCGTATTTATGTTTTTGTTTAATTTTCTTTTAATAGAAATGACCTTTATGATATTTAAAAATGTATTAATTGACAAATCTTCCAGATGATGATGACACAACAGCATTAGCAGTGGGTGCATCGGTTGGAGGATTTGTAATCATTATTGTCGTTATTGCTGTAATCTGTATCTATAGACGGTATGTAAGTTACTTATATGTTTACCGTACAGGAGATTGTGGCATTTGATTTGTATTCTGCCAAAATAATACGATCATGGGCGATGACTGCTCACATAGTGTTTTTGGAGTTGATTTCAAAGAACGTTAAATTTAGTCGATATACATGTATTGTGTAAAAGTCATTAGAGAAATTTATTAAACTACTGCTTCTTGTACGATAAAATATTTCCCCATCCCCGAATAAGTAATTTCAAATGTTTAAAACACTTTAAGTTGGCAAGCTTCGTGTTTTTTGAAAATTCAATCATCTGGAGTGGATGTAGATTTCCGGAGTATCTTTAAATGACACATTTAGAAATAATTTCATTTGTATAATGTTATACGGGCAAATGTTTTTCACGTGAATTTCACGTTAATCGATCTTATAAATAAACGTTAAATTCAGGTGAACAAATTGTTTCTGTGTTGTAGAGAAGATTAAAGGTTTTTAGGTTAAGATCTGTTTATATATATATGTATCTTTTCTATTGAGAAGGCTAGATTTATTTTATATAAATTAAAATATCAAAAATTCGAAATAAAACATCAAGATTCTAAACGAGTAAATCATATAAAAACTAACTGTGAATGTTAACAGCTGATTTCATTACAAATTTGTATTAGATTTGCTAAACCTATAACATTTTAGAAACCATCCAAAATCAACATCTAAACCAGGTCCAGCAGTTAATGCTGATACTGATGATTATGGTCTACGTGACAATGTCCTGTACGTTTCATCAGAACCTCCTGAGACCACTCAAACACCAAACAACGACGATAGTCCAAACACAAACAGGATATCAGTTGATATTGATGGTAATTACAATACAGTAGATTTGGATAAAATACCGTCAGTCGAAGAATCAACTGGAGATTACAGTTCAACTAACTTAGAAAAACTGACACCGTCAAATTCGAATTTGAACGGGTCTACAAATGAAAAACCAGTTATTGCTCCTAAGCCAAAACAAAAGGTGACCATTCAAGATGATGTTTATTCTGTCCCGGATAAGAAAAAGGGGAAGCATGTTACATCACCTGGTGAACATGGGTGTGAATATGCAGTTGTCAGTAAACCAAACAAATCGAACGTTGATAAAAGTGAAGATCAATCTTCAACGAGTAATGTATATGCAGTTGTTGAAAAAAAGAAACGTATGTCTGACGAAAAGGGGACAAATCAGAAACGAGATAGTTTAACAGCCGAAAACGACAGAGAACCTGGACAAATATAATAAAAAACTGACTACTGGTTATCTAGCTGTTATAGAATGGATCACTTGAGCAATTTATTGCTTGTTCTATAATTTTTGTGCTATTTTTACATTTCGGGATCAACGAGAGAAAAATATTTCTTCTCACTAGTGAAATATCTGTTCTCAGCAAATGATTGGTCGCAATTTAATTATGACGTCAGATTTTCTTGGTTTCTTCTGAAATTTCTATTGTGACGTCATGAAAAAGGCGACATTGCCTGAGGACGTCACATATAAAGAACACAACTTTCTGCAAATCTTTCAAAAAGAAAGATAAAAATCATTAGAAAAACAGACTTCACCATTAAAACTCGTGTCTCACGATACTTCTCCACTCTCGACAGTTAAATGTTTACTTATTTAAAAAGCGGAAGAGCTTTGCGCTTTAAATATTAAAATTTTACTGTCTCGATTGGAGAAATTATTGTTACACATTTGTTGCAGTGGTGGAATCTATAGTTCTATTAGCCATGTAATAGAAATGTCAGTTATAAACAAAAATAATTAATCATTTATTACTATATTTCCCAAGTGCCAATTTTATAGACTTATGTACTAAGCTTACAATAGAGATCACAGACCAGTCAAAAAACTAAAATCTATAATTAGTATATGTAATTGCTGTACCTTTTTTAACTTCTTTTATTATTGTTTTTTTAGTTTTCCTAATATGAGAAAAAATATATCAGTTATGTTTAAATTCAGAAATATGATAACATAAAATGTGTTTTTGGTCATAATTGGTAAACCGCCTAAATGATATAGGTAGAGTTATCTCATCGAGTGCGTCATTTCAATTAGTTTCGATCTCCGACCGGGCCAAACCAAAGACGAAAGTATCTGCTGATATTTTTCTAAGTAACTGCCATCTAGGAACAAGACCAGAATCTGGTCGACATATTATCAGAATCATGTGTCTGAGTAGGATGATATGTCTTCCTTTGGGTTGTTGCCTTGGGAACCAGAACCTTAAACTTCAGTCTGGGCAAGTCGCTCTAAAAGATAGATTTCCTATTCGTATCACCGGAACATGTTCACATTAAACAATTTCTATTATTTTTATGTCCTCTTTGGTCATTAAGCTCCTCAGTGTTTGTGTACTTGAAATTTAACTTGCTTTAAACCTTAAACCATTTTGATTAGAGCCTTCCGGTAAAATCAGAAAAGCAGTTCGGACGAATATAGATATTAGAAGATGTGGAATAAGTGACAATGATACAACTCTCCAATCAATTCTTAATTTGTAAAAGTAAACCATTATAGATCAAAGTACGACCTTCAAGACGGAGCCTTGGCTCACACCGAACAGCAAGCTATAAAGAGCCCCAAACAAATAACTACTGTAAAACCATTCATACAGGAAAACCAACTGTCTTATCTATATAAAAAACGAGAAACGAGAAACACTTATGATCAACATCAACAAACCACAACAACTGAACATCAGATTCCTGACTTAGGACAGGTGCAAACAAATACAGCGGGTTTAAACGTTTTAATAGGCGCCAATCTTCACATTAATAAAGAATTATTTTCTTTTTCATCATCGTCATATCAATGGATGTTTTAAATGAATTTTAAGAAGGAATTTTCTCTTTACGTATATTTTCCAATTTCGAAATTGACCTTTTGAGGGTAAATTATACATATAAAAGAAAGATGGTAGCTGTTGTAAATTTCGACCTTTTACATAGAAAAAATAACAACTTTCGATTTACAAATATCGATAAAATGTTCGTTTAGGATCTCGCGAAAACATAGAAGAGTTCATTGTAACTACGTTATAGACTAGTGGCGGTAAACTTTGAGTACTTTCTTGATGAAAACTGTGATATGTATGCAAAAAACATAACTTTAATCAGAGACAAATGAATCATAAAATAAATATTTTATCAAGTCAGTGCGTTTTACAAAATATTTACTAATATAAAGACAAGGAGTTGAGGTATGGTTGCCAATGAGACAACTATCCACCAAAGTAACAAATGGTGTGGATTTAAGCAATTGTAGGCTACCGTACGGCATTCAAAAGTGAGAAAATCCCATACCGTATAGTTGGTTTTTAAAGGCCCCAACATGAAAAAATATAAAACATTTCATTTAAGAAAACTAATAGGATACGTTACAACAAATCAATTCACGATAAAAAAATAAGACAGATATGAACAAAACAACAACCACTGAACTACTGGCTCCTGACTTGGGAAGGCACACGAAGTATGTCGGGGTTAAGTATGTTCGATGGCGCCAACACTCCCCAAACTGGGACAGTGGTGTAACGGCACAACACGAGAACAATCTATTTACAAATAAACATGATAAACGACAACATCTCAATTGTTGACTCCAGACTTGGATCAGACACAAACAGAATATTGCAGGGTTTGAAAGCGCCGATTATTCCCTAACCTGGGACAGTATTGTAACGTCACTACATAAGAACAAACTGTAAAAGCAGTTGAAAAGTGTTTAACTCATCGGATAATAACAATAATATTGAGTTTGGTTTAAATTTACTGATAACAAAATCAATATATAAACCAATAAAATCAACGCTCAAAGATCTAATTACAGTGTTGGATTGGTAACCTTTTAGAATGAGTTTATTTAAAGGATTGACAAGTTTACCCGGATTTAATCTAAACTTTTGCGATCGGTAAACAGCATCACCGTAAACAATAGGATGTGTTTTTCCGTTTCAAATAGATTTTCTACAAGTACAGTCAAGAATTTAGTAAAGATTTAAAGTAATTTGTGGTAACGAAACCCCTGACTTAATAATTTACCGGTATAATACAACAATTACGCTCAGTGGAATTCAAAACCCCATTACTGACAAGGGTACAGAGCACGAGTTGGGATATATAAACACCACACGACGGTGCCAATGGAACATCATCGTCCAAAAAGTAAAATAGCAATATGGAAGAAAAATCGTCCCATTTGTCGTAAATTGTTGTGTAGAGTTTCTTATTTTAAACTGAATCAACTAAATCTATGAGAGAATAGCAATTCCTGCTAATATTTGATTTATTTAGAGTAGGTTTCTTTGAGCAAATTTCGGCAATATATTCAAGAATTATTGATTATTTAACGAAACACTATCATCAAAATAACGGTCAGTGTTGTTGAATTTGTCAGAAATGGATATTGATTATCTTAAAAGGGGTCAAAGTTAAGGTCAGAGTGACCTGACTTTTGTATATGACACACCCCACGCCCTACAATTGTCAGTCGGCAGACAAAATCTCACAAAATTCCTTAGTTCAAAGACTCATAACTACTCTAAAAATCAACTGATAATAATTTCTTTTGGATATGCAAAACTACATGTTATGTCATTATCTACAAAGATTAAGGAAAGTATGTTGCGTGGTTTCAGAGAAGTTGCGATAACAAACTGTTGCAGTACTTAGTACTTAGTATTTTGTTAAGCCGGAATTTTAATTTCAAAGGGAATAAAACCTAGAAAATGCAACTGATGATATTATTGATGTTCATATGCACATTTACATATCCTGTCCCTATTATCGACAAAATTTCGTGAAATTCTGTGGTTTTAGGGAAGTTGCGATGACAACCGAGCCAGTAGTATATTAAGGCAAAATTCTAAAGGGACATTACCCATATAAAAATAATATATAATCATAATTTCCTGTCAATACAAACATCTACATGTATGTTCTTATTATGTACAAAGTTTCAGAAAATTCTGTTATGTGGTTTCGGGTAGATGCGATGACAAACTGTTGAGGTGGTATAATTAGGCCAAAATTCTAAGTTCAAAGGGGCATTACTCCTGGATGAAAAATACAATATTAATTTCCTGTCGATATGCACATTAACATATCATTTTCTTATTATCTACAACGTTTCAGGAAATTCTGTTGTGTGGTCTCAGAGGAGTTGCGTTGAAAAAAAGAAGACTGATAGACATACTGACTGACGGACGGACGGACAGGTAAAAAAAAAATCGACGGAACTTTGTTCCGTGGGTTATTATTACTGTAATATTTCCACTCCACTTTAGTCTAGCAAATTAGAAACAACTGTAAAATGAAAAGAAACAACACAAATAAAGGATTTTCCAATATTTTTATTATCTTAAGCTTATCAATGCAGTTTTCAACTCTATAACAGTGGAAAGTATTTGATCAATAAGGTAATAATTCATATAAAAAAAAAGTGTACCTGCATATTTTTAGGATGCTTGCACTTCGTGTAACAGACATAAAATGAGACAATGATAAATTAAAGAATATGAATGTTATAGATACCAAACCGCCAACATAGCTGTTCACATATTAATATTTATATATGTATCAATAAATAAAGGCAACAGTAGTATACCGGTGTTCAAAAGTCATAATAGAGGTTTCTCAACATCTTACGAACGGACGAAACTCGACGAACGTATCGTTAGGGAGCTGTAATTTTATGCAGTAAAATTTTCTACCGATATTGCAGCGTGTTTAAAGACAACAGTAAACAATTTAATATTCTTTTGCAACCTTGTAATTTATTGTTGTGGTTAAACATTAGTGTTCCAATTGGTTTTGTGTTGTTGAATGTTGCGTAACCTTACGTTGAGTTTCGTTTATTTACATGTCGAATATACGTTCGATTTATCTCCCTTATCCATTTAAAAAAACAATGTTTTTGTTAGTCGTTGTTAAAAAAAAATCTGCGCATTTGGTTTGCATTTGACTGAGTGATTGTTGGATGTTTTTTTTATAAAACGTTCAGTGGCGAGTATTTCATGCATTTCACGACGATATTAACATTTGATAAAGGATTGAAAAGTGGTTGAGAGGACACAACCTTTATATTTAAATCTCCAACTCTGGACTTAAAGTCATATGAAACCTCAAATTAAAAAAAAAATGATGCATATGTTTTTTATAACTAAATGGATAGTTTTCATTATAAAACTTGTGTACATATACTTTTTTCTGAAGAAATGTTTTTAAATTGTCCACATTCAGAAGAAGTTTACTTTTTTTTAATTGCTTGCTTCCAGGAAGCAATTCGCCGACATATTTTCCGTATGCAAGTGACCTTAGCGTGACCCTCCTCGTAAAATTCCGGTGATCGCAAAACGCATGGATCTGTCATTAAAATGAACTATTATCTGATTGTACATGTTATACACGTGCTCAATATCCATGCTTCTTTGTTGATTGTTTACTATAAGGTGACAACTACGGCTTCAAAACACGACTATTAAGTAGCTGCCATATTTTCACATCATAACAGACAGAGAGAAAAAAAAATTGACGATTATACGATATGTTTGCGTAAAAAATGATAAAATCGTGTACAGAAGACTAATTTTATGATATATACATGCATTGGTTCAAGAATTAGATAAACATTATTTTTCACCAGTCACTCGTTTCATATGACTTTAATATCTCTAGCGCTCGACTTTAGATCTACAGCGCTAGACTTTACACCCCAGCGCGCTGGACTTTAAAAACCACAACTCTATATCTGCGTGAGACCAGCAGATCACTGTATTATAGAGATGATTTGCGTGGATTTATAAGCCACACAGACTAATATATCAGCAGTGCATATGGCCTTAGCTAGTTCTTATAGTTCAAACAAAGTAGACTAATCTTTTCCTATCCTTAATAATTGTGAACAAATAATAAAGATTGAATTTTGAAAGTCACAGAGAAATGAAAGTTGGTCACTTCAAAAACAAATCAATGGTGACAAGAAAGGTCTAACACAAAAACTCGTTAACCATAACCCATTTTTCATATATTCTGATTAATGTTAATACATGTATAAGTGTAAAACAACTTCGATAAATGTATATACGTATTGAATAAAAACGCATAAAGAGATAAGATATGGTTTAAAACAGTTTAATTTCTTCATTTATCTCCACATTCATTCGATAGTATTCAATAATAAATATAGGGAACCACTCCTAACAGCAAGAAAAGGCGGTATTTTTTATGTATATTTGATATATATGTCGTTAAAACCGCTATTTATTTATATGTATTTTAAAAGTTTTTTGGGGGAGTCAGTTATATTGTAAGTAATAGAGTTGTGTGTATTCTAATGGAAAGTATGAGTGCTGCAGCACCAACAAAACTGATTGTAATATAGATATCAAAATGTACATTGAAACAATTTAAATTATACTAATATACTAATAACTGTACGATAATAAAAACATAGACAAAAATGATAAGAAAGGCCTTGAAAATAAAACAAAAATCAACAATACATTACAGAATATCTTTTCAAGTGAACTTTTTTTTCTCAAATATCTATTTCAGTATTTCCCTTTATTCATTTTCTTGCCAATTTAGGTAGAAAATAGTTCAATGATAATTATATAAGGTATAAACAATAAACAATCCTATTATTAAGCACCTTATCATCAGATTTGTCTGAACAAAACTTATTTCAAGAAGGAAGTCGTCTGTAGAAGCTATATAAACATATTTCTAGGAATGTCTGAAATTACGATTACAAAATTAATGTAAACAGGATATTTAAATCTCTTGTAAGAATAAATCAACAGTTAGGTAATATGAAAAATAAATTACTTGTATAGAAAGCTCAGTAAACTTGTTGATGATATTTTGTAGAAAACTCCTTTTTCATTTAAAAGAGATTTGTTACAAGATATATGATTATTTCATGAAATAAGTGACCTTCTTGTCCTAGACTGAAATATTGAATTTTCTTTCAAATCTTCTGTTATCACAAATACATCTTTTGTTGATTTTTAATTCTATAATAAGTTAATAAAGAATGCAATGGTTTACTAGTATTTGTCATGATAACCTGAAATGCTGTAGACACTTTTAAACATGTCTTATACAATTTCAT